TCCATCCATCCATCCATCCATCCATTTCCATGTTCTAGATCGATATTCCCTACTATAGATCGACATTCCATGTTCTAGATAGAAATTCCTACTATCGATTTTTGTTCCATGTTCTAGATCGATGCTCCATGTTCTAGACCAATATTCCCAGGTATCGATCGACATTCCATGTTCTAGATCGACATTCCATGTTCTAGATCGATATTGCGTATTATCTAGATCGATGCTCCATGTTCTCAAGATCAATATTTCATACTATAGATCGATATTCCATGTTCTAGATTGATATTACATATTATCTAGATCGACATTCCATATTATCAAGATCAATATTACATAGGATAGATCGATATGCCATGTTCTAGATCGATATTCCCTACTATAGACCTATACCCCATGTTCTAGATCAATGTGCCATATTCTCCAGATCGATATTCCATGTTCTAGATCGACATTCCATGTTCTAGATCAATACCCCATGTTCTAGATCGATATTGGGTATTTTCTAGGTCGATATTCCATATTCTCAAGATCAATATTACATACTATATATGGATATTCCATGTTCTAGATCGATATTCCCAACTATAGACCTGCATCCCATGTTCTAGATCAATATGCCATATTCTCCAGATCGACATCCCATGTTCTAGATCGACATCCCATGTTCTAGATCGATATGACGTATTATCTAGATCGATGGTCCAGGTTCTCAAGATCAGTATTACATGCTATAGATCGACATTCCACGTTCTAGATCGACATTCCACGTTCTAGATCGATGTTATGGATTACAGATCGATATTTCATGTTCTAGATCGATATTCCACGTTCTAGATCGATGGCATATCATGTATTGATGATCCCCTACACATTATGATCTATTATTGATTATCTCCTATATATACATTATTGATGATTGATTTCCCCCTATAGATCATATCACATGTCATGTATTGATTATTGGTGACTGATTATTGATTATTGGTGACTGATTATTGGCGACTGATTATTGATTATTGGCGATTGATTATTGATGACTGATGATTGATTGGTGATTGATTATTGATGACTGATTATTGGCGACTGATTATTGATTATTGGCGATTGATTATTGATGACTGATGATGACTGATGATTGATTATTGATTATTGGTGATTGATTGGTGATTCCCTGGAGGGCCGCATCCCACACAGACAGACAAATTCATAGACAGACAGACACACGGACGGACGGCAATGACCCGTCTGTCCGTCCGACGGCACCCGGGGTGCGCGCGCGACACGGAAATCCGGATGGATGGACCCACCCTGTCCGTCCGTCCGTGTGTCTGTGTCTGTCTATGAATCCGTCTGTCTTTCTATGTATCTGTGTCTGTCTTGTCTGTGTGTCTGCCTGTGTCTGGTCTGTCTGTCCGTCTGTGTGAGTCTATGACTGTCTGTCTGTCTTTCCAGGTACCACTGTGTCTATGGGTCCATCCGTCCGTCCGTCCATCCGTCCATGTGGCTCGGGCTGTGTATGTGTCCGTCTGTCTGTCTATGTATCCGTGTGTCCGTCTGCCTATCCGTCTGTGTGTCCTTCTATGTGTCCGTCTGTCTTGTGTCTGTCCGTCCGTCTTCCTCTCGGTCTGTCTGTCCGTCTCCTCTCTGTCTGGCCTTTCCCGGTCTGTGTGTCTGTCTGTGTGTTTGTCTGTCTGTCCATCTGTGTGAGTCTTTCTATGTCCGTCTGTCTTTCCAGGTATCTCTGAGTCTATGTGTCTGTCCGTCCGTCCATCCATGTGTCTCTGGCTGTGTATGTGTCTGTCTGTCTGTCTG